CCGAGCACGGGCACGAGGCCAAAGGGGGGGCCTGAGGCACCTGGGCCCTGCAGGCCTCTCACCGGCAGGGCTCGAGCTGCACGGCGTCGGCGCTCAAGATCGGGGGCGGCAAAGAGGGGGGTGATGACGAGGGGGGGTGGATATCATGGCGGGGGTCATGATATGTCCCCGGATTTCATGGCGCCGCCTCTTGTTTCATGGCGTCCCTGGCCCCCCCGCTGGGCCGCGCACATGCCGCCGGTCATGATTTGCACCCCCCCCTCTTGGGCACCTCCCTCTTGGCCGCTCCCGAGAGTGGTGCAGGTCCTGCTCCTGGCGCCTCGCATCGTGGCCCTGGAGGTGCGGCCCGTCTTCCCGCGGACCCCGCCGAGCGAGCCAGACTTGCAGCTGACTTCGAAGCGGCATCCACCTTCCCCGACGAGGAGATCGACCATCCCACCTCGCGTGCTGCAGAACCGCGCCAACAAACAAGGGGTCGTCTGCGCCGACATTGGCGCGCGAGCTGCCCGCGGAAGGTCGCGAGCAAGCGCCCTCGTCTCCAACATGGCGTGCCGCGCCGGCGGCCCGCGCAAGCCACCGCGCGAGGTCGCTATGTCAGCTCGCGCAGGACCCGTTCGAAGCGCCTCACCTGCAGGGAGGTGGGGCTGCCGCGTGGGGCCCTCTCCCCCCCCGCGTTGGTGCCTGTCTGCATGGTGCTCCGCGTGCTGCTGGATCGGCATGCCAGACCGGCGACCTCGTCGGGCGCATCGCCTCGCTCCAGGCCTCCCTGGCGACCAGCACGGCCACCCAGGTCTCGGGCTGCCGCTCGAAGCGTGCGGCGGACAGGGCCCATCAGCAGGCTGCCTTCGCCCAGGAGTTCGCGGCCGAGTGCTTCGCCAAGGTCGCCGAGGGTCAGGATGCCAGCTCCGAACCGATTGATGACAGATTCGCTTACTGCGAGGAGTGGCTCGCTGGAGTCGGGAGCAGGGTGGACGGGCTGAACGCCCTCAAGCAGGAGTTGGAGCTCCTCCGACGTGAGATGGTGGTGGTCAAGAGCTCCAGTCCGCCTGCACCTGCATCGCCTGCACCGTGGAATCGGACGGTCGATCTGTCCGCGGTCGTGGCCAACGCGCGCGAGCCCGTCCCCAAGGCCTCCCTGGTGCCTGCGCTGGCGGAGGTGGTGCGCGACTCCAACTCTTTGTTCGGGCGCCTCAAGGTCGAGGGGGTGGAGATGGGATCAAGGTTCGTGCTCCGGTTCCAGGAGGCTGCCGGGCGTGCTTCCAGACGGGCTCAGAAGCTTCTCCAGGGCATGTAGCATGCGGACAGGCCTTCGAAGGATATCGTGGCGCAGGTCCTCACTGGGGCCCAGCTCATAGCGTCGGTCGGCCCAGACAAGGATCGCAATATGGTGGCTCACGAGCTCCTGCATAAGAAGGCCCAGTGTGCCTTGGCCCCGCTGCTAGACCGCATGATCTTCATCGATAAGAATAATATTCGCCCAGTACCCCAGTGGAGCAGTTCTTCAGGCTGGAAATCCAAGGCGCGCCCCCTTGGCCCAAACTCCATTAGAACATGGCTGCGCTCCGCGTTCTGGGGCTACGTCGGAGGGACATGGGGGCAGCGGTGCGTAGTGCCTTTGATACCGAAGCGGCAGAGTGGCCCTTTTAGCCAAGTCGAAGATAGGCGGGAAGGAGCGAGGCCATGGAACTCCATCTCCTGCGACACCCGCGCCACGTGCAGCTACAAGGCACGCAGTATCAAGTCTAAGTTTAGGCACATGAGGAATCACTGGCTCCCCAACGCGGTCTGAGCCCGTCAGGATACCCACCGCTCTGAGGTTCGGGCGCGCGACATGCTTAAGACGTCTGGGCGTTCATGTCAAGTTTTTGGCAGCTACTCTTGACGAGGAAGGGCGGGCAGCTGCAGAGGGGGCGTCGCCATCGTGCTTCCCGCGGACGCGAGTGGCGACATTCAGTCGCCCATCGGTCTTTGAAAGTATGTATTTCTGAATTCCCTGATTCTAATCTACTTCAGTCGCCTTCCTACTTCAAGAGTCGAGTGTGCTTTTCTTTATTCCCTCCTCTATAGGAGGCGGGCGGACATCCAATCTATTTCCAACACCTTCCTGCTTCATTTTCCTACTTACTTTGTCCGACCGATGGGCATGCGGACCAACGGTTCTGGTTCCTGGCCGTATCTTCCACGCGAAGGCATCTTAACTGAACAAGGGTTTGGGCATTGCAAAAACCATTGGAAGGTTCACAATGTTTGGATCGCGGCCGGGGATGTGCTGCGCATCACAGGCCAGATGACGACCGACTTCGCGTGGGCCCGCGAGGCTCCGCCCAAAAGAGCGGTGGTCATTTGCGATGACGTCAATGATGGCGATCACATCGATTCCGCGGACTTCATTTTGCAGGTGCATGCTGGCCCAGGCGCGAGGCTGCGATCGCATCCGGGCTCCAGGATATGGCAGGCGGCCGCCGCGTCCATGATCGAGCACGCCCCTCCTGGCCCAACGCAGCGGCGCGAAGGTCACTGTGGCCAGCTCACGCATCGATCGGGTCTTCATCGGGATACCGAAGTTCATCGCCCACCAAACCACCCCAACCCAACCCGCAGGCTTCAATCTGCCCCCCATATCCAGCGGGGCGGGGGTCGGGGATCATCGAACAAAACATATGGAACCCGTGCACCTCCAACCCGAAATTCGGGTCTTCGGGTTGGGTCGGGGTGGTGCGGGAGGTAGTCAAAATGGATGCTCAGACAGGCGTGGGCGAACTTGCTACTTGGGCGGTGAGCCGCGGGAGCTGCGCGCGGCGAAGATCATCGCTCGCTCGACGGTGGCGGTGGAGGTTTCGCGACGTGAGGTCGAGCCTGGGCCCGGCGAGAAGTCGGCCCCATTGACCCCTCCCTCTGCGCAGACGAGAAGGCCAAGGTGATGATCTCGCATGACCTTGACGCTGCCAGGCGCGACCAGCTGTTCGCCGCTGAGCGGCGCAAGGCGTACTCACGAGTGCCCCAACGCTTTGCCGCTGAAACTCGGGGCGCGAGATCGAAGGGCGGCCTGCGCCCCGCCAGCGAATTGGATGCTGTGGCGACAGATGGGGCGAGATGCGTTGAGGGGGGATGCCAATAAGTTGGCGCGCCTCCTTCTCGCCCAGAGTGTCTGGCGCAACGAGGTGGCGGATTTGCCCGAGGGCGGCGGGGCCTCGATCGCGGCGCCGTTCGAGTTCAAGAGGAGGCGCGACCGGCGCGGGGAAAGGAGGTCAGCGAGAGGTGGGCGATGGTGGGGGATGCGGTGGCGGAGGCGACGGTAAAAAGTGAACGGCGATGGCTTCGAGGGCGGCAGCGCGTCCTCCGTCGTCGGGCTGCTCGCCGGTGCCCCTTCAATCCGAGGCGGCGCCTGCCGGGGTTGGTCGCGAAAGACTTGGCCGCCAAGACCCGCGCT